AAACGGCTTATGTAATGGCACAAGACTACAGGTGTTATCATTGGGTAAACGTGTTATTGAGGCACGTATAATAACTGGAACTAATATTGGAAACCGGACTTTTATTCCAAAAATGTCTTTAACTCCATCAGAAAAAAAGATTCCCTTCAAATTCACAAGAAGACAATTTCCTTTGGCCGTATGTTTTGTAATGACTATTAATAAAAGTCAAGGACAATCGTTATCAAAGGTTGGTTTGTTTTTGAAAGATCCAGTTTTTTCACATGGACAATTGTATGTTGCCTTATCTAGAGTTCAAAGCAGAGAGGGATTAAAATTATTAATTTTAGATAAAGATGACAAACTCACAAATAAAACTTCCAATGTTGTTTATAAGAAAGTTTTTCGAAATTTGTAGCCAACTTTTTTGTAGCATATTTTATTCATTTTTAGCAAATCACACTTAATCTATCATATTACTTTATTTATTTATAATTACGTATTGTTGTATTTTATGTTAATTTCATTACACACATTGGTAATGCATCATCTACGTATGTCCAACAAGAATCATCCACCAAAAATAAGGGTTTTCAAAAATCTTTATTTCTAATTAAATACTTACCATTAAATTTGTAATTAAATATTTATAAATCAAAATTTTATTGAAAAATGCGATATTACAAATTTTATAAGTTATCAAAATTAATGAAATATTATTTTATTAAATAATTCATTTTTAAATTCAATTAAAAATCGACACCCGTAGGTTCCACGGGTTTTAACCTAATTTATAGTATATTAGGATACAATTTTCAATGGAATGTCCAAATTTTTTTGTCCAAAAACAAACATTCACGTATCTACTCCAATGTTTCATCGGCCGTTCAAATAAATTTTAAGGTGTTCAAAAATATGTTGTATCGAATCTGTTTTTTGAAAACAATTATTTAATTTTATATAAATCTATTTTGAAAATAATTATTTAATTATTTGTCAGATTTATATAAATGAATAGCAACAAAAGTAGACATAGGAACCTAACCTTACTTTTGCTTAGCATCAACACTATTATAACCATTCTTTTAAAGAAAGTAAACAATCTTCCTATTGAACCACGCCATTTTCAATCTTATCATTTCTTAGTTTTTTATTTCTTTTCAGATCTAAAAGTATTATTAAATACTTTATTTCTTTTTATCTTATTTCCTCAAATATTAGAAATAAAAAATACATGTGGATACATTAAATAAATTAAAATAATAAAAGCCTCCAACCGTATATATTATAAGAAATACAAAAATAAAAAAAATAAAATGATTCTTTTGAGATCACATAAAATTTATGATTACTTTAAAAAACAAACAAAACATTAAATTTTTAGTACAAATCTCATAAACCCAAAAAGAGAGATTTAAGGTGTGTGTCTACTATTTTCAGTAGTAGAGACAGATTTAGATAGTGGCAGCTTTGGTTGTAAGGAAGAAGAGGGTGTTGGCATATCAGTGAATTTATCATATTATTTGTATACATCCTCAATTCTAACATATCATACAATCATAGTTTATACATTTTAGAGACTATATAAAATCTAAATATTATTTCCGTGTTTCTCCATATCACATTCTACTTTATAATCAAAAGGAAAGTTTTAGATCATACACATACACATAGATCTGTAGCATGCACAGTTTCATGTATTACTCACAGATCTATATAATATTCACGAAGAAATATTTAGGAAAACAAAAAAAATCAGATCTGAGTAGATCTTCCTTTGATTCGATAACCAGAATTAATGTTATTGAAGTGAAACATCCATATCTGTCTTCATGTGTGGTTCTTGCTTGATATCTGGACCTGAGATAACAAAAAAACACCAAAATAAATCAGACACACAAACATATACCATATAAATCTATAGCATACCTAGATATATAACATGCACATCACATATACGCACAAAAATTAATGAAAAAGCATTTGCAAGATTAAAAGGTAGAAAGAGCCGAAGATGATAGTGATGGCTGCAGAAGCTGATAATAAAGGCCAATTTGCCGTCGACGGTTTAGATCCGGTTATTTTTTGGTTTGTAGTATAGGGTTTCCCGTATTTAAATGGTGGTTGTCGGGTTTTTCGGAGAAAGATGTGCAAAAAGAGAGAGGAACCGACAATTTGGTAGCTACCGGTGGTTGTTGGCTTTTTTGATCTAGGGTTTTGCCAACATCTATGGAGAATTCGGATAGCGGCGTGCCGGAACGTTGAACTCGGTGGAAGAGGTGGTCGTAAATTCTCTTGAAGGTTTTGTGTATCTGCGCCCCATGAGTGGTGGTTGTAAGGTTTCTAGATATAAATAGATGGAAATGGGTTTGATGAACGCAGAGAGAAAAGTGGGTTTGAATGTGAGAGAGGTAAGGTCGACATACATGTGTGAGACTTCTCCCTGGCAGTTTTGCTACTTAAAGATGAGTGTGAGATATAATATAAAAAATAATGCAACATTCAAAGAGTCTGCCATGGTGGCAATCCATGACAAAACTGCAAAGCAATCCAATGGTCAAATAACATGCCATGTTGGCGATTCATAATAAAGAAAAAAAACTGATTTATGATTTATAGTTTCATGCATATATATAGAGTGTACCTCTTAATCTTAATTTTAAGACAATCATGCATCACTTACTTGTAAATTATCCACCCATTATAATATATATATATATATATATATATATATAAATGCTAGTCTTACCGTTAATAGGCCTCATTTACGAAGCCGGTCTATAAGGGGGTATAAGGTTATGGCCGTTTAATGGGTGTCCACTCTCACCCACCGCTTCCTTGATTGGTGGAGGGTCGTTAGTCGAACGGGTATTATAGGGCAAACTTTTCCTCATTAAAAATATAATGAATCTATATAAAGTAACTAAATGTTTTTTTACAAAATTCTCAATCTTAGTTACTTTAGGCAAAAGTGAATTTGATGCAATTCCATGAAATTACACTTTGTACCCTTGCTAAGACGTTAATGGAGCGTGTGTGGTTAACAGGCACATTAATTGGGTTCTAAGCAAAGGTGGCAAAGGGTGACTCATTGTTTGTCATAGTTCGATGGAGCGT